ACCCGAAACCCTGAACCCTAGACCCGGTCGTATTTTAGGTCCCGAGGCCTTAGGCATGTAGGCGCCTGCTACGTAAGCCAGCTTGCCTCTGGCGGCCACGGGATCTACAACCCTAACTCGAAATCGTAAACACCAAAGCCCAAAGCCGAAACCGAAACCCCTAAACTCCTAAACCCTAAACCGCCAAACTCTGCACCCCGCCATCAAATAACTCGGTGTCCAAAGGAGTTTTCAAGATTTCAGGGTTCAAGAATAGTTGTGGTGTATATTTAGGATCCTTTAGGCTTATCCCAAGAAGGAACCACAATGGAGCCTAGGGGTAGTGGATCCGAGGACTCAGTACCTTAAAGGCTTCTTAAAGAGATCTTTGAAGGGTTTAGGGTGCCACAGTGGAGGAGACCTCGGAAGTAGGCCAAAGCTGGGCTATAACTCGGATGCCCTATTTAGGTCACCGTTTAGGGTTTAGGGTTTCGAGGTTGGGGTTTGGGTTTGAGGTCTAAGTCACGAGTACTTCTTCTTATAAGCTACTTACTACGAAGTGCTCTGAGCCTCGAAGTAGGCGTTTTCAACACGAAGCAGCCCATGTTGTTTGTATTCGGTGTGGAGCACCTGCAGAGCCCAACCCTTTTTGGGGTTCCCTGTTGTGATTTCCGTCGCCGTCTGGAGCCTGAGCCCTCCAGCCCTAAACCCGAAACCGCTTTCAGAACTGAACTCCCAACCCATACTTGATTCTTTGTCCCTCGGTCGACCCACTAGATTTGGCTCCGTTGATAAGACAGCCTGCTGCAAAACGTACTTACGCCGATAAGACGGCGTGTCATGAAGGGTAGTCGTCCTTTCAAGTTCTAAGAAATTTCCCCCGCGGGAAAAACCATGACACAGTAGAGTCCTTAAGAACTAGATGAGGCTTTTGTGGTAAACTATGGTATATCCTTTTCAGGGCAATAAAGGAATTCCATTCCTGTCTTCTCAGATCCCCGTTTTAGTGCTCCGGCAGCATTCCGGGCAGGCCTAAACCCTAAACCCTAAACCCTTTGGTGTTCTCAGTTCTAGGACCTGCGAATCTGAAAGCCCGAACGGAGCTCGGCAGGAAGAAGAGCTGGAAGACCTGAAAAACTTCTTCCTGGCCCGCGACCGATACATGACGAGTTCAGATTTTTCTTGGAGTGTCGGAGCCATTTCTACCCTAAGCTCTAGCACCCTGAAGCACCCAGCTCTAGCACCCTAGAGCACTAGCGCCCTAAGCCCTGAACCTTAGAACCGTGGAGCCCTCGAGCCCTAAGCCTTTGAACCGGGAATCCCCCCATTTGGGAGTCTTAGGGCTCTCGATGCGGATCTTCAGTAAGTACAGCACACGAGTCCTACTGGCGTTTAGGCGTTTAAGGTTCCAGGGTTCAGGGGTCTAAGGAGTCTAGGCTTAGGGGTGCAGGGTTGGCAGAGGTGCCTTCAGCCGGACCTAGACTAGCGGACCTAACGAAGCTTCAAAACACGTCCCCTCGGTCGTGAGATGGACCAGAAGCGTTTCAGTCCTTATATCTGATCGCACAGAGCACTCAGGCGTTTTGGGGACAATCCGAAACAGAAGGATCCTAAGGCCCAAGCCCGAACTACAAATGCTAATTCGCCGGCTGTCCTTAGCCCAAGACCCGAGATCCAAGCACGAATCTTGACTGGTTGATTCTACCCAAAGCCTAGGTCAGCAGAAGCGTATACAGGTATAAATACCCTGCATGTGGTCTGTAATTAAGTGCGCCTCAAAACACAGGGTTCCCGCCGAGCCGAACGCCCCACCTAAAGCCCTAAAGCCCCAAACCCTAAACCCTAAACCCTAAACCCTGAATCCCAAAGCCTCCCGAACCCCTGCCTGTGGAGAGGAGGATCCGAGAGTGCTGGAAAGGCATTTCGTGCGCCATGGCGAGCAG